TGCCGACATGTGCATCCCCGTACCTACCTGATACCACCACGACGGAGACGGGTACGCACAATCCTCTTTGTCGGATGCTCTGGCACCCAGTGACACCAATGCAGCCTCCAACGCCTAACCGGTCTCGGAAGCATCTCCGCAGCCGCCTACACGAGCGATGGCAGGCTGCGCATAAGACGCAGAGCCGAGAGAGCGAGCGGACCACGCACGCGCACGCGCAGCTCCCTCCGCACGGCGGCGTTGAGCGGGACGTGCGCGATGCGGTCGCTCCGGCACAGCGGCGTCGTTGCGCGGCCTCACCGTGTGGAGGACCGCCGCGAGCAGGACGCGCGGAAATTCTCCCGCTAGACCGGAAGCGGCTCTGAGGCCCGAGGCCTCGGGAGCGCACAGAACGTGTGCCTATGGACGTTTGGACGAGGGCGTTCGTGCGTGCAGGGAGCGCAGCGGCGCGCGCGACCATCCCGGCTGTGCAAACGTGTCCTGGGGCGAAGACATTGGCACGCCGGCGGCGCGGATGTGCACTGCTGTCGCACAGGCTGGGCTGGCGGTGGAAGACCCGGTCGAGATGCATCTGCTCACGCTCGCGCGTTGGGCTGGAGGCGGCTGTGCATGTGGGGTTTGAAGGGGCCGCGCGTCGGAGGGCGTGGGGCGACACGGACGGTGCGCACGCCGCCGCCGGAGCCACGGAATGCGCGCCTCGCGTGCTCTGCTCGCCCGCTGCATGGGCCGTCGCGCCTGCGGCTTTGTACGCAGCGTGCCGTAATGCGTGGGTCTCTTTTGGCATAACCAGAGCCGCTGTATCGCGAGTTGCCGTCGAGGTAGAGATCGCATGCGGCGTAGCAGCCTTGTTCACAGTAACACAGCTCTGGGGAATAGGTTTCAGCTTGTGTTCTTCCTTCAAGAGAAATACGAACCAGGTCCCATCATACCCTACTTATAGAGGTGCTTGATTCGTGCCCAAGACAGCATATCCGACGTTCATCAAATAATTTTCCCATGTATTTCTATATGTATACGCACATCAAGATGTTCTTAGCTCTTTAAACATTCGGCGTAGGTAACCCAATACTACGAAGTTGATCGAGGACGCTGGCGCATTGCCTTGATCGTTGCGCTGCTGACTGCCAAGGGTGCAACGAGACGATGTGCAGAAAACAAAATGCCATAGATACAGCGCGTCTTCAGATCATGATGAAAAAAGGGCGACTAGTGGCAATTCCGACGCGGGCCCGGGGAAGGGATCACACGCACGCTCTTCAGGCACTGCGAACGACTGGAGTATTCGGTGAGAGAGAATTTAAAGCTGTGGGGACACAGTCCAGCGGCAGAGTCGACTCACAGGTGGTAGATCAGACAGCGCCCGAGCAACGAGGACGCGTCGTGGGTGGCTGAGCAACGCTTCGCCAAATCCGGCGTTGCTGCCTCCTTCACTTCATCCTCAAGGGTTGCCTGCGGCCCTAATATCACCCTGCTTTCTTCCCTCTCTCGCTCCCCCGCCCGCCCGCGTACACGGCGCCCACTTAGCACAGCACATCCTCCTGCGCCATAGATGGCCGAGCATGGCGATGGAAACATCAAGGTCGTCGTGCGCTGCAGGCCCCTCAACTCGCGCGGTTCGTCTCTCCACATTTCTCCCGTGATGTCCGCTCACGCTGCGCCCTCCCCATCTTCACCCCCGTACCCCGCCGTTCGGTCGCGCAGAGATCGCCCGCGGCGCGAAATGTCTCGTCCGCATGGAAGGCAACCAGACGATCCTCGAGCCTCCCGACCAGGGCGTGCAGGCAGCGGGGCGTTCTTCCGAGCGCAAGGTGATGAACTTCGCGTTCGACAAGAGTTACTGGTCGGCGGGCTCCAGGGACGACGCGAACTACTGCTCGCAGCAGACCCTGTACGACGACCTCGGCAAGGAGCTGCTCGACCATGGATTTGCGGGATTTAATGCATGTATCTTGGCTTGTATGTCCCCTCGGCTTTCTTTCTCGCGTTTCTCTAGCTGACGTAGTATAAGATGGACAGACAGGTGCGTGGTCAGGTCAGTTATGCAGGGTAATGTTTGCTGAGGAGGGTATATGCAGGGTCCGGGAAATCATACAGGTGAGTGTTGAACCATTCACTTGGCTTAGTCTGTGACTAAAAAGTTGGACTTGTGCAGTATGATGGGATGTAAGTCGTAATATAGTAGGTCTTACGTCGCGCAGGTCTAATGTACACCGTAATCCAGACGGTGCCGACAAGGGAATCATTCCTCTCACTTGTTCTGAACTTTTCACGCGGGTAGACGACAAGAAGGCGGCGGATCCGCACATTAATTTCACTGTCGAGGTGTCCTACATAGAGGTGTGCCGTCCCATCCCTCGAAGCGGTGTGCGCCACCTGACTCTCGGCAGATCTATAACGAGAAGGTCAGGGATTTATTGAATCCGAAGAACACTGGAAACCTCAGGGTCCGAGAGCATCCAAGCTTAGGGCCTTACGTCGAAGATTTATCCAAATTGGTAGTCAGCAGTTACGACGAGATGATGCAACTGATGGACGAGGGTAATAAGGCGAGAACAGTCGCGGCTACCAACATGAACGAGACGTAAGTGCAGGTGTTGCGTCCGCAATCTTCGCGCATTCAATTTTGTTCTCCAGATCATCCCGTTCCCATGCTGTTTTCACGCTCATATTAACTCAGAAGCGGCACGATGTTGGCACGAATCTGGATACTGAGAAAGTATCCCGGATCAGGTACGCATATTCCCCTCGGGAGACTCATACATGAAGCCTCATATCGTATAGTTTGGTCGATTTGGCTGGGTCGGAACGTGCAAATTCGACTGGTGCTACGGGTCAGCGACTCAAGGAAGGTGCCAACATCAACAAGTCTTTGACTACACTGGGAAAAGTCATCGCCTCTCTTGCGGCCGCTAGCCAGGCTGAAGCCAAGAAGGGGAAGAAAGGGAAGGCGGATGAATTCGTCCCATATCGAGACTCTGTATGTCCTTGTAGACTGTTATCAAGAATAGATCCTGAGGTCCATCTTACAGGTCCTAACGTGGCTGTTAAAAGACAGCTTGGGTGGTAACTCCAAGACGGCTATGATCGCTGCTATTTCTCCCGCCGATGTCCAGTATGACGAAACATTGAGTACGCTGCGTTATGCCGACCAGGCCAAGAAAATCAAGAACAAAGCCGTTGTCAACGAGGACCCTAACGCTAAGCTTGTTCGAGAGCTCAAAGAGGAGCTTGAGATGCTCAGAGGTGAGTGGAGGCGCCACTTGTTCTATCTTTCCCTGTAGCTGACAGTGGAAACTCAGCGCGCGTTTCGGGCTCGTCTAGCGAAGCTGTATTCGATCCATCTATCCCGGCTGCACAACAGAAGGTCACGTACCAAGCCAAGGACGGCACAATTAAGACTGTCACTAAGGCAGCGCTGCAAGAGCAACTCGAGACGAGTGAGAAGCTTATGCAGAGTCTGAACGAGACGTGGGAGGAGAAGATGCAGCGGACACAGGAAGTCCAGAAGGAGCGAGAAAAGGCCCTGGAAGAGCTGGGTATCTCCATTGACAAAAACAACGTCGGTGTGCATACACCCAAGAGGGTAAGCTGTGGTTAGAGACTACATGGTATGAACTCACTGATATCCGTTATGCTGGCAGATGCCTCATTTGGTAAACTTGGTGCGTAACTTTCTGTTTTCGTAGCACACTCTCTGATCGAGAGTCGCCACCCTGTACGGCTGATAGAACGAAGGTCAGTCAACTTCCCCTCCAAGTTGTTGTTTTGTTCTCAATTGCATTGTTATTAGATCCGCTTATGAGCGAGTGCCTGATCTATCAGCTCAAGCCTGGGCGGTCAGTGGTTAGTCGAAAGCTTGTATTGTGCCGTTTAGACGCGCACTCAACGATCGAAACAGGTTGGGCGGCTTGATAGCCAGAAACCCGCCGCAATACGTCTGAGTGGCGAGAGTATCGCAGAGGAACATTGCTACTTCGAACACAACGACGGGAAGGTGACCCTCCATGCGATGCCTGACGCCGTGACGGTAGGTTCTAACGCCATTCGCGGAAACCAGAGTCGTAATACGTCCCATTACTAGTTCTTGAACGGACGACAGATCACTGCTGGACAAGTGAGTGTGCAACCTACCTTTTTTACAGTAAGCTGATGTGAGTCAAGACATTCAAACTACGTTCGGGTTTTCGCATCATTCTAGGTAAGTCCTGCTCGTATCTCATAGGCGGAGAGTTTATCCTCTTTGCCCAGGGGAGCATCACGTCTTCCGCTTCAACAACCCCGAAGAGGTTAGGAAACAACGTGATCGAGCAAAGCAAAAGTCAAGTCTACATATCAGTATTTCCGCTAGTGATATACAGGCTGCCCAGGAGAGTGACCCGACGCGGCCGCAGTCGCCTGCTTCCTCCGTTGATCTCGCTGACGTGGACTGGACTTTCGCGAAGCGTGAAGCTGCATTCGCTCGACTAGGGCTGGACCCATCGCTCGACAATCTCCCAGACGAGGACTTGAATAAGCTATTCGAGAAGATCGCGAAGGTGAAGACCATGCGAGACCATAATGCTAAGCCCCGTCCAGAGAGCAGCCTTAGCCAAGTGGATGATATTTGGAGCGAGTCTGGGAGGCCATTCTCGAGCGATGCATTTACAGATGATACCAGCGTTGACGCGATGACTAGCCATGATAGCCCGGATGTAGGTGGGTCTTTGAAAGACGTCCAGAGTCAGCTGGAGACGCAGCGTGTCGAATTCGAGTCGCGGCTACAGGCCATTGCTGAATCCTCGGAGGCGGAAGACCTCAAGGCGGAAAAGGAGCAAATGGAGCATCAGCTGAAACTCGTCCAGTCGCATATGAAGCGCCTCTTGGATGCTCGGGCTAGAGGGGAGGTTGATGCGGAGCTGGAAGCGTTCGAGCCAGTCATATACACCGCGAAGCAACTGCGCTTGATACGCAAAGTGTTGGATAAATGGCGGGCACATCGTTCCTTCTCTATGGCTGAGGTCGTGCTATCTAATGCTGTCTTCGTCAAAGAAGCCAATGTGATCAGGTATCGTTGTCATGCCATAGAAGCTTCTGTGTGCGACTAACATGGCTTGTCATTAAATAGCAGGGAGCTTAGGAAAGGTGTATCATACAACTTCACCGTGGCTTCTGGCGGATCACTTGCAGCACCTGCATCAGCTATTGACACTATCGCTGGGTTGGATCAATTCGGCGATGTCGTCGACCCTGTGTTAGCGTCCACAACACAGCCCTGTGTAGCCGTCAAAGTCTTGGACAAGCGCAATAATGCTATATACGCTTGGTCGCTAGATCGCCTGCAGCAGCAATTACAGCGCATGCGCAATTTAACCACTTTCATTGACCGCCCATCTTACTCCCAGCACTTCTCGTCCGAAGAGCCGTTTTATGATTCTCCGCCTCCGGAATATTCATTTATTGGAAATGCCTTGCTATCACTCGCACCGCTATCACGTCGACTGTCTTCCACTTGTATTGCGCCCATCTTTTGTCGATACACTGCAGAGGCCATTGGTTCATGCCGCATGGAGGTCAAGATTGCCAATTTCGTGCTGTCCCCCAAACATGCTAATTCGTCAACAACGTCTACCCGAGCATCTTCTCCTGTACCAGGGACAGTGCCCCCTGGGAGCAAACTCACCTTCGTCCTGAGTGTAGACTCTGTCAAGGGATTGTCGCATCACGACTTCTCTTCCGTCCATCTCCAAGTGCGGCTGTCGTCATTCATGGGGTCATCCATATCATCGGAAGAGGTATACCCTTCACCGGCGCTGGACATGGATGCATCCGTCCTCTCGGACCTCAAATTCCGCCGCAGCTTCTCGATTGTCGCATCTTCCAAAGTCCTCACATATCTTCGACAGGGCTATGCCCCAATAGAGTTCTTCGCCCGCTTGAAGCCCACATATATAGAACGCATGGAGCGCTGGGACGAGCTCCGCGAGCAACGTCTTCCGCTGAATGGTAGTAGATCTAGCACTCCGGACAGTAAACCTCCAACTCTGCCCCTCATGCGCCGCTCGGAGACCGACTTTGTCATGGAGCAAAGTCATGACGTTGTCGCCTGGCTTCAGATTAGTGAGCTGGCTCCGGACGGTGCGTACAGCCCTGTGGCTGTCATTTCGCAGGGCAACCTGGATCCAGGTGCGTTCCAGCTGCATCAAGGTCTACAACGGCGCATTGTGCTATCGCTGTTCTCAAATTCGGGTCGGCAACTACCCTGGACCGAGGTGACGCGAATACGGCTCGGGAACGTTCGACTTCTCGACGCCAAAGGGCGCTTGCACGAGTCGAATTCAAAATCGCTAGTCACGCTGCCCCTGCTGCAGCAGCAGACGGTCGACTTCCGGATGGACGGGACGGGCACTCTGTCCGCGGAGGCGCTCTGGGACTCCAGCGTCCACGACTCCGTCCTCCTGAACCGCGTTACGGGCTCCAGCCAGCGCATACTGCTGCAGATTAGCTGGTCTGTGAATGTGGACATCTGCGCGGAGCCGGTGCAGTTCGCGATGGACACGGCGGTGTCCATCCAGACGCGCGACGCGCGGCCCCCCTCGCGCTTCATGGCGCTGCTCGGGTCGGCGAAGGTCATCCCGAAGACGAGCACCGTCTTTACTGTGCGGCTGTCCCCGCCCTTGACGCGCTCTCCCAAGGACCTCTGGCGCCTGGATACGGCGGAGAAGTACGTCCGCGGCGAGGAGGCCCTGGGTGTGTGGCGGCCCCGGGGCGTTTCGGCGGTCGAGGACTACAACAAGCTGGTGTCGATGGAGCGGCGGGCGGCGGACGTGCAGGCGATCCGCGTCATCCTCGCGGCGTCGCCGCACAGCCGCGTCACACAGACGGACGCGGTCGTGTGGGCGTCTGAGGACCTGCTCCGCAAGGCGCTCGACCTGTGGCAGAAGAAGTTTGGACATCGCGGTGAGGTGAGTCGGGGAGTCTGCGTGGTGTGGCGCGCAGCGTGTCTGACGGGCCTGCAGATTGTGATCAGCCAGGATCCTGTTGAGCCGGAGGAGTCGAGCGTCAAGTCAGGGAAGACCTCCGGGACGCAGTCTGCGGAGTCGGTGAAGCTCATCTCGTCGACGAAGGTCATCCCGCGAAAGTAAGCTGCTTGAGCTCGTTCGCGGTGAGCTTGTGCTGACATTGGTGCGCGTCAGCGATGGGCCGACGAAGAAAGGCCATATGATGATTATGATCGACGCCAACGAGAACGTTTGGGAGAAGCGATGGTTCGTCTTGCGGAGGTATGCGTCTATCGTTCTATTGCCCGGATCACTGAGCTGACGCGCCTGACTGTGTAGACCGTACCTGCACGTCTACGCCCACTCGAACGAGGTGGAAGAGACCAGCGTCATCAACCTCAACGGGGTGAACATCGAGCGCAACCCCGAAATGGAAGCTTTGCTCGGAGTGCGTCGCCCGATTCACTCTGCTTCTTATTTACTAACGAATGTCGCGCAGAAAAAATTCACGTTCACCTTGTTCACCGCATCCAACTCATACGCGCTTGCCGCTCCGAGTCTTAAGGAGCTGCAGGCATGGACATCGAAATTAGATCCCACGAGACTCCCGTCATGACCGTCACGAATGTCCGCTCCGCGCTGTCCTTGCCGCCGCTCGTTTATTGCTATGCTTGTCTGTATCGTCTCCGGAAAAGGTCGTTGTTTATCTTCTCGGCACATCTATACCATACCACTTATTCTTTCATCTTCACGTCGGGCCGCATATATAGCTGTACACCCTATATCCCTATTATTGCATACCACTGCGCATATGTGTATCTCTCGCATAGTAGTCCACGGCACACCGGCGCCGAGTCTGGGATAGGGTCCCGAGGGTCTTCCCGTTGCAGTGCTCCGGTGCAAATAGAGTCTTGTGTTTTTTTTTGCCGTGCAAAGTGGTCGGCGTTCGTGAACCCCTCGGGGATGCTCAACGTAAACCTTGGGACGAGATCTTTGTGCATACGCGTGACGTCATCCGAGGGTTCTAACGTGCTGCCGTGCCCAGTATAGGTCGACGACACGGTCACAAAACGACGCCATGGTGAAGCACTACGATCAGCTCGCAGCGGGCATCGACAAGGGCATTCACCCCGTCATGAATATCTGCGACGGGCTCGCGACTCTTTTTTTATTCGAGGATCGTGAGTCCGAGTTTGTCATGCGACGTCTCGTACGGCCACGCACTTCAGTGCAACATCGGAGGGTCGATCACCCAACTTTGGCCGGTCACTGCGCTATCAGGGGAGTCTTGGACATCTCAACTCCTCCCGCGAATGCATTATATATATACTCCTCGTTCCTGTCTCGGTTGTCGACTCGCGTCCGTGCGCGGCGGGGATACACAGAAGCCGACATCTGTGCTCTCCGGGTGGCCCAATGAGCACAGTCGGGCGCGATCAATACCGACCAGCTGTTAGTGGGCCTGTCCGTCCACGCTATGTATGAGCGCCAGCCTCCCTGTCGCAACAGCAGCCAAGTGTCCTGCGGCCAATGCTACCCGAGTGCTTTTGTGACCCAAATGTCATTCACAGCTCCCCGTCGAGTACTCGTCCTGCCGAAAGCCATCTGCTGAGATATGCAGTGCGCATTTGGCATAGGACTGATGTGAAAAAGTACAAGTCAAGTATCCAGAGGGTGCGGACCACAGTACCACTCTCGCCTTCCTTTTACTTTCCCTTTCCCTTTCCCGTTCCTGCCAGGCGTTGCGTCTGCTCCTTGTCGGAGAGGGGATTGGATCGAACCAGACTATGGCCGTTGAATGAAGCGCCTCCCGGGCATCAAAGTGCTCAAGACGCGGCCAGGAACAAGATCCCGAGACGCGCTCCTGCGCCGTGGCGGCCTAATGCAGTGAAAAAAGTAGAGTTGAAGGCCAGCTCGAGCCGAGCCGACAAACGTCTCAGAGCAGGTCGTAGTCGTCCAGCTAAGACGCGCGGTTAGTGAGCGACGAGTCTCTGCGCGAAGGGCGGATGGCGCGCACCTCATCGTTGTATCTCATGATGGTCCTCTTCAGCTTGGACTGGTCGACCCAGGTGACAAAGTCCTCCATGTGCCTGGGGGGTGTCAGTACGTGCGCCTGCGCGGGACGGCGCTGTGCTCACCGCGTCACCAGGTACGCCGGGTCGGTGATCGTGTCTGGGCCGACACGGACGTGGCCCTGCTCGATGAACTTGACGGCCTGGGTGCGCGACGGTCAGCGCGGGCGGCAGTACACGGGAGGGGGGCGACGCACCGCAGAGACGGTCTCGGCCATCTTGGCGCGGCAGACGACGACGGCGAGGCGGCGGCGGCAGAAGGCGGCGACGGTGAGCTTGGCGTCGACGTCGCTGAGCTTCGCGGCGGAGTTGAGCACGCCGATGTCGTAGAGCTTGGAGAGCAGCTGGCCCTCCATGCGGGCGCGGAAGGGATCCTGTGCGGGGAGGAGGGCGAGGCGGTGCGCGAAGGCGCGGAGCGAGCCGCAGAGCTTGTTGTATCTGCGGTGGGGTCAGTCGCTGGGGAAGGCGGGCGGGGCGAAACGCACTTGTGGTAGTCGTCGCGGTCCTGGACGTGGTATCTGCGCATGACCTTGACCTCGCGGAGGTTGGCATCCTGCTTCCACTGGAGGGGGGGGTTCTGTCAGGGATGGGAGCGGGAATAGCGTGCGCGAGGACGTACGTTGAGAAAGTCGACTTTCTTGAGGAGTTTCTGCTCGTGGTACTTGAACTGGCGGACCATGGCGGGCAAGTACGACGGACGACTGAGACGCGCTCTCAAAATTTGGGCAGGACACGGGCACGTGATCAGGCATGGCGGGAGGACCCCAGACGCCGCATCGAGGGTGTTTGGTTCCGCTGTGGCCGGGATGAGCCGGGACCTCGGATCGCACACGCACGGACACGAAGCTCGATGTTATTGAGGAAGTGTAAGTAGGTACTGTACATAATACAAGCAGTCCCGCACATTAGAGCAGGGGCGGTCGATGGACCGCAATTGGCCCGGCCGGATCGGATCTCGACGAGTTTCTGCCCCTTGGAGGCTCGCGTGATGGACCGAGGCGCATCGACGTCGGGCGGACTGGACAAGTCGCACGAGCATGGGAAGAAAGGACGTCCATATTTTGTGAATTGTACAGGAGAGAAAGGGCAATGATGGACGGGTCATCTGGTGGCGCATGCACCATCGGACCTATGGCGAGCGCGCGATTACATGAAGCGGGGGGAGCGGGCGGGATCAGGGAGTGAAACTGGCCGTATCAACATCGGAGAGGCCGCGCTGGGGCCAGCCACACACGAAGCCTGTAGCCTGACACGCTGCAGGCACGACCGAGGCTCAGCAGAGGGCGTCTGGGAGGAGAGACGGCGCAGGGTGCGGGCCCGGCAGAGGAGCGATCGTGGAAGGAGGATGAATGGACGGGCTTACGGACTCTTGCCCGTCGATTTAGCGTGCTGCTATGGTCATTAACGGGTGCATATAGTATGTGTACGCACAACGACGAGCGCGATGGGCACGACTGGCGATGGCAGTGCCCGCTCGGAGGGAGAGACGAGGACGGGGACAGAGGGAGATGAATGGCGGCGGGGGCGGCGGGAGGAGGAGGAGGAGGAGGAGGAGGAGGAGGAG